TAAGGGAAAATAATTTCTGTAATTGGACTTAATTCTGATGACATAGTGTACCTTCCAGAGAGGAGTGCATTTGTTTTGATTAAGCAAAGACTTGTCGATATTGAAATGCAGGAACTTAGAAATCTTGCCTCTGGTAGATGCTCGCCTCTGAGGTGGGGGATGCCCTCTAATAGTTCTCTGCCTGAATATTTTACTTGTCTGACAACCCCTCATTTGTGGAGAGCATTCATGTTAGCTCATTTTAATGCTCTCCCTTCTGCTGTATTCTACGGGAGGTTTAAGAAAATCCCATACTCTTCTAGGTTTTGTGCCTGTGGCTTGGTGGAGATTGAAAGTCTTGAACATGTTCTCCTGTATTGATATTTTTGCTGTTTTTCTAGAACCCTTTGTCAAAGCCAAGTAGGGCAACCTGATGACTATGAGATCATTTCTTTATTATCTTCCCATAATTCTGAGATCATTGAATCTGTAGCTAAATTTCTCTGCTGTGCCTCTAAGAGGAGAAGATTGTTTCAGTTGCACGGGTGAAGGACGTATCCTTGTCTCCCTGCTGCTGGTGTTTGTTTTGTTGATATGCCAATAAAGGTTCTGATTGATTGAGTCAGTGCAACAAAATTTAGGATCAGACCTCAGAGGTTAGACATAAATCAAAAATGGCTTTAAAACAATCCACTTTTACATATTCCTTTGTGTAAACAGAAATATCAGTAGGGCTTTCTGAATTCAGTGCTGAATTCAGCAAAACAAGTGTTATGTAGATTTTTGTTTCATGCTTGTATTTGGCTGGACTGAGGAATTCTTGATCTGATTTAATCCACTCGCTTAATCCTTTTTATCTCAAGTATGCTGTGTGCCCTGGGCACCTGAAGAATTGCAATGAGTCACAGTTTATTAATTTTCCTTTTGGTTGTGTCATTCAGTCATTTGGTTATCTACTGGTGGTCCCCAGCCCGAGGGACATCCATCTAGCCTCAACCAGGGCCAGGGCTTTTTCCGCCCTGGACCCGGTCTCGTGGAAAAAGCTCTGACTTGAGATCAGGGCCTGCAGGACTTATTATCATTCCGCAGGGCCTGTAAGATGGAGCTATTCTGCCAGGCCTATGGTTGAAGCAGAGGGCATCCAACAAAGCCAGCCTCCCTCACTGAAGCCGGTCGTCATTATTCGGCAGCCCAGATTAGGAAGATCTCTGGATCCAGTCACTCCAGCTGAAATTGTGTTTGTGATTACACACTGTTAGTTGTATTATTAAATTATTTTAAATATTGCTATGTATTTATTAATGTATGTTTTTATCTACTTATGACGTGATCCACTGGGAGCCCATTCACGGGGAGAGCAGAAGATAAATCTAAATAAATAACTATAAATATAACTAAATTATTTTGTTTGGTAATTTAGACTGCTGGCTTACTTAGCTAAGCTTTTTATTTTATATCTACATCAGGGACACACATGTACGTTCTGTTAGCCATCTGGATACAAGTAATCAGCCCAGTTGTGCTTGATGGGTCCATCCGAGAGACATGCTAGCACAGAAATGCAGCGCCCTTCACACTCCTTCCATCGCGTTTACAGATGAGGCCAACCAATCAGACCAATCACGACCTTGATCAGCTCATATGTGAAGCAGAGCAGAGGCCCTATGGCTCAGGGGCAGAGTGTCTGTTTTGCAAGCAAAATGTCTCAGGTCCAGTTTCTGGCATTCCCCAGTGTAAAGGATCAGGTAGTAGACCATGTCAAAAACCTCGGCCTAAGGCACTGGAGAACTGCTGCCAGCCAGAGCAGACAATAGTGACAGACCAGTGGTCTGTCTCATCGCTTCATAGGTGTTTGTGTGAAGCTAAGATTCAGCATGGGTAGGCCTATTTCTTCCCCCAAATAACTTATCTGTTTGCTTTACAGTATTTACATGCTGCCCCTGTGTTTTAAAAAAAATGCCCAAGAGGGCTCACTATATTGAAAAAATAGTTATCTGAACTGAGTTCTCCTCCTGCATGATCACTGTAGTATAAGGCAAAGGTGTCTTGGCTCTGAGGTGGTTCCTTTCTCCTGTCCTCTCCCAATGTCACTGTGCTATTGGGGAACATGACTCTGACCCTCCATATGAACCTATGAAGCTGCTATAGGATGAATCAGGCCAGTGGCCCTTCTCGGATCATCTATCCTGACTGGCAGCAGCTCTCTGGGCTTTCATGCTGGGGATGCTGGCCCCTTGGACCTTCTGCACACAAAGCACAGGCTGTACCCCGAGCCTTTCTGCTCCTCTCCCAGATCGCAAGAGTTTGTAATGTATGGATCCCTGGTTAGGCAGTGAAAATGTGACCCCCGCCTCACACACACACACACACAGACCTCCCAAGCCTAGCCGTAGCCCCCCACACTTAAATGGTGGCTCTGCTGGAGGTACACACCAACAAAAGAGATATTTAGACAACTCAGTGAATCCAAGAGGAACATCACAGTTCAAAGGTGAGCACTGATCTGGATGCACATCTGTACTGGACCTACTTTCACTCCCTAATCTAACTTGCTGTAATGAACTCCATGTGTTCTCCTGGTACTCTGTATTAGCCTGATCCCCATAACTACAGTCAAGCAAACTACTGGGGGGGGGAATTTAAACAGAGAACAGGCTTTATTGTTGTTCAGATTCCCATTTCACAAATGCTTTCAAATACAGACAGTGATCATTAAAACAATGAATTTCCTAAGTTATCAGGGAATGCTTTTTCTGTGCATTAACAAATAAGCAAATAGGACATTTATTTCCTAATTTCTTGTATTGCTTCAAGTTACTTCCAGCTGTAAACTTGTGGGTTACAAAACGGTTTCACACCATTTTGATACATTTCTCCCTAATTTACCAGCAGCACATTCATCATACTTATTTATATAGATAGCCTTCAGTCGCATAGGCTGAGGTCAGACTGGCAGTTTGAAGCGTGAGGGAGTCGTGGCAAAAAGATCCAGCACAAACTGTTCTGGGTTTTCCCGTCACACTGTGCCAACTGATGCGGGAGCATACCGGGGAGGAGGCGCAAGGGAGTGTTCGCACTGTTGCGGCTTTCGGCGTTCACACTTTGTTGGTGTGGGATGAATGCGGGATGACCGTGCTCTCCAGGGTTTGCTACCACTTTCACCAGGTACTTTTTAAACTCGGGAGCCAAGATGGGCTGAATACAGCTGGGGAACGCCTGACAGATGTGTCTGTGTGAACGGCCCCTTTAATCCGTTTGTGAAACATTTCTGGCACGTGCCTATCTCGGGGCAAACTGCCAGTCTGAACTCAGCCATAGTTATCTTATTGGAATCCTTGCAACAGCTCTGTAGAGTAGCCGAGGAATATTATCATTCCCATGCAGACAGGATGTTGAGAGAGCATGCTCGGCTAGGAATTCACAGCAGACATGGTATTTGAACCAGGAACCTCCCCTATCACAACACATATTTGTAGTTATACCATATTGAGAGCAATGGGCAAAGGAACTGACTAAATTGCTTCTTGATGGAAAGTGCAGTGGGATCAAATATGGAAGAAAAATACTAGGATTACGAAAGCTATTCCGTATAAAGAAAACATATATAAAATGTTTTATAGATGGTATGTAACACCTGAAAAGTTAGCTAAAATTGACCCGAAACGTTCGGAAAAGTGTTGGAAATGTGAAAATAAGGTTGGCTCATTTTAACACATGTGGTGGCATTGTGAAAGATCTAAGAAATATTGGGTAATGGTACATGAAATCTTGCAAAAGGTACTAGGGACGGTAGTACCATTTACACCAGAGTCTTTGTTATTGAATATTCTACCTGATAACTCTACCAAAGATGATCGTTATTTGATTTTTTTTTAACTACGGCTGCAAGAATTCTCTATGCAAAATATTGGAAATTACCGGAGATACCAACAAAACGAGAACTAGTAAATAAAATCTTGGAGGCTGCAGAATTGGATAAATTGACTTTATTGATAAAAGGTGCAACAGATTCGACATTCCAGAATACTTGGTCACGGTTCTATAATTGGTATGATAAACATATGTAGGCAAGCTTGCAAGAGACAGACTAAGAGTTTACTAAAAGAAATATACACCTGTTAGAATGATAGAGACAGAAAAGGTGCTTACACAGTTCATGAGAAATTGTTATTAAGGTGGAATAGGCAACAGTATAAATATTGGTAAAATTGAAAATAACCTCCATGTATCTGTTTGTATTGTTAGTATGTCTGTATATGTATGTATATGTTATGATTGTTTGTGTATGTTATGTGCCCTTTGGGGGCAGTTTAAAAAAAAAAAGGAAAGGGCTGAAAAATTATGAAAACTCTGTTTTGTATTGCATTGCTCCATTCACTGTATTTTAAACTATATCAGGAATGCATTAAACAAAAACAAATGCATGGGTTCAAAATTTACATATTAAAAGTTCTCCTTGAATAAAATCTAATTTACAATAGATCAAAGTGCTCTTGCTTGCAGGTGTACTTTCAATTATTCTTTTGCACTGTCCATACTTTTTATATGTGATGCAAAGCAATTGATAAGCAATATAAATAATAATTAACATTGAGAAGACCTCTACTGTGTGCTTTGGTGTATATGATTTGCATAGCTTATTCAAAGGCTCTTAGAATAGCCCATTCCCAGAAGTATATGTCTATATGCAGGGTGCAGAGATGTAATCATTGCTATAACTTTGTAATATTATATAACCCCTTGGACTGATAAATACCCAGCTTCCTCCTCCAACTACCAGAATAATAATCTAAACATAGGGTTTCAGCATTCAACCAGCTGTATTTTGCTGCCATCTGGTGGCATATCCAAAACATTGCATCATTGAATACTTTGTTCAACCTTTGCCATGGTTTTTTGATAAAAATCAACCGTGTTTGTGAAGTCTGTTTATACAGTGAGCTGGATATGGTGTTAAATGTAGACACATGTAAACCTTCTTCTCTGCTTCTGTTCCCATCATATTTAAATACATCATGCTGCTACCAGTCTTGATCTGATTTCTGGTTAATGAATCGGAGAGATAAATAGTATAAAAGCAAGAATCCTGTGCTAATGCTTGCCAAGATGAGGCAAATTACATAGAGGGGTTGGGAGTCTAGATCCATTGATTGGAGCACCTGCAAGGAAAGATATCACATCATAACTTTTGAAATTGGGATGCCATCTGCTGAAAAGAAATTTTATTCAGTTGCTTGCCTCTGAGTTCCAATCAACTGATTGATTAATCTGCACATGAATAAAACAATAGATTTGAAGATAATAGCATTCTTTCTTTGTTGCTAGAGGATGTTTTGACCTTCGAGAAAGCATTCTTTTCTGTGCAGTGGAAGTGGGATGCTTGGTTGAAGATAGCACCTGGCACACATACGTTGTGTGTTCTGCTGTCTGGTTTATTTAGCCTGCCTTTCTCACTGAGGCTCAACGTAGATCACATAATATTAAAAAAAAAACTAGGAGTAAGGCCCATTGTGGGAAGAAATACAACAAGCTCTAGAAGGAAGCTCCAGGTGAGTGTCCCGGCTGGGGCTGGTGGGGCAGCAGAGGAAAGGGGAAAATAGAGGGAGCCAAGCCATGTTTATTCCCTTCTGCTTAGCTAAAAGGCAGGGCTGTCTCAAGTCATTTTGCTGCCCCAAGTATGGGAGGACAGCCTTATGGTAACAGGTATGATTCCCTCCACCCCGACTTATGTTGATTTGGGGTTATGCAGTGGCAGCTAAGGTAGAAAAGCACCTCCTCCTATGCCATGTCTTCTGGGTTTCAAGGGTCTGGAAAGCGATTCCATAGCCAGTTACAGGGTTGCTAACTCTGGGTTGGGAAATACCTGTAGATTTGAGGGGTAGAGCCTGGGGAGGGCAGGGTTTGGGGTGCAGAGGGACCTCAGCAGGGTATAATTCCATAGAGTCCATTGCCCAAAGCAGCCATTTTCTCTGATTTACAGTGAGTGTTGGATGTTCTGTCAAATAGAAATTCCCTGCCTCCCCCTCCAACAGCACTGATCTCCACCAAATGATGTTGCTGGTTGGGTTGCCTAGTCTGGGTTGGGAAATTTCAGGATATTTAAGGGTAACGTTGAAGGAGAGTGAGGTCACAGGAGGGAAGATACCTCAGTGAAGTGTAGTGCATAGACCCTACCTTCCATAACAGCCATTCTTTCCAGTAGGAATGATCCCTGTACTCTGGAGATCAGTTGTTAATCCAAGAGGTCTCCAGGCAAAGGTGTTGTAGAAAAACTGAGGGTCACAGTGTTAGGAAGATATGCAAAAGTATATAGCACTGTGTATAATAGATGTATGTTCAAGGTAAATCAATTTAGTCCAGTAATTGTGATACTGGCAAGGTGCTGTCTGAATATTTGTACAGAATGCTAACATGCACTTAGATTTTTTTGTTTGGGTGATTATAATCAGACAGCATAAAACATCCAATGAACAATGCAATAGGACAGTGGTGGCGAACCTATGGCATGGGTGCCAGAGGTGGCACTCAGAGCCCTCCCTGTGGGCACGCATGCCATCGCCCCAGCCAGGCCCAGACCATCATTAAAGTGTCGAATTCTCTGCCAAATAATTTTAAGTAAGTGAAAGCATTTGGGATTGCTTTCCTTACTTTCTTTGGATTATCTTAAGTTAATGTATGAGTTGTTTTTTTCTAAAGTAAAACCTCAGCATTCAGGTTAAATTGCCGTGTTGGCACTTTGCGATAAATAAGTGGGTTTTGGGGCGCAGTTTGGGCACTCGGTCTCTAAAAGGTTCGCCATCACTGCAATAGGATGAAGGTTAGTAAAGTTAGAAAAGCAGTGCAATTTACCAGTGCAGAAATGAAGCATATGTATAATATATCAATGCAGAAAATGGAATTACAAAAGTAGAAGACAACGGACTAAGTGCAAGGTAACACAGTTCCCTCAGTAAATGTGAGCAGACTCTATTCTATACCTTCTAGCCTTAAGAAACTACCTTCTACAGGGCTGAAAGTAACTTAAATTTCTTCCCCACACTGATCTCTCTTTGGGGGGCCTCAAAGCGGAAGGAGAGAGGTCTAACTTCAGCCACTTTCTTACCAGTATTCTGTTCTGGCCTCTACTCGCCCCTGTAGCTCAGTGTTGTCTGCTCTGACCGGTAGCAGCTCCCCTTCTGGTAGAGCCTGGGCAGTTCTGCATACCAAGCATATAGCCTGCCACTGAGCCATAGCCCCTTCCCCTATAGTTATATTAAAATAGATATTTTTAAAATGTGTTCCCTGATCAATTTAGGCTACTTTTTAAATGGATTCCTCCAACCAACGAAGCACCCTTTGCAATGTGTCGTTCCAGTCATAAAGAAACAAACCAATTCTCCTTTTGTTTCTTGTCTTCCCTTCTATATCCTGTCCACTGTTTGTGGTAGCAATCTCCTAGCTTTCAGATTAGAGGCTCTTCTGTTATGATTGACAATCATAGCAAGAACTGTGACACTTCCCTTGATGAGTGCATCATTTGGGAGGTTCTCAGCACAGTTTCTAAACACTGTTTTCCAGTCAATTCACTGCTGAGGTGTGGTAAAGGAAATTACTCTTTCTTTAACAAAACAAAACAAAAAAAGTGTCTGTGTCTCCTCTTTTGACAGGCATGCTAAAAGCAAAGCGCAAACAGGCACTCCTGACAGGGATAGGTAGAGGTTAGGGATCCGCGTGTGCCTCTGGAGGCACCAAAGGAAAGGTTCGCCAAAATGCAAAAGATGCAGGTGGGAGCGTTTGGGCGATGGAGACAGGGCTTGCTGCCCATCCAGTTGGAACTGCACTGCTTTTGGTACCATTCTAAGGGAGAAGGATAGGCTGATGACTCTGCCTGCCTTTGACTATCCTACCCGCCACTCCACCAGCCCCAATGGGTACCAGGTGCCACTGTCCTTCAGGCAGTATAGCAAATGGTCACAGCAGATGATATAATTGGGATACACCACTAGATGCTCTGATGCTGCTTTGTCTCTGAGCATACCTTTTAAAAGAACATTCCAACACCACCTGTTGATTACAAAACCACTGGTATCCTAGCCAAAAATGGTGCTGCTGTTGCAGCAAAATATAAGCTTGCTACTAGCTGCTGTTCAGCAAATAATTAAACATTTTTAAGTTTCAAAATGGTGTGCGGTACAACAGGATTCATTCCATCCTGTTAACCCAGATTTATATTCTATATTGTCTTATTATTTAATATTATTAAATATCTCCAAACATTGACTGAGAAAAAAGGTGACTTACAAATTTCCCAGAAACTGGGTAAGTGACATTCCCAGAAGTCATCGTGTACGTGACTCCTGCAAACTGAACTTGCATCAAGCCTTCAAAAGACCATCTGACAAAGGACACTTTCGATATCCAAGATGGAACTGCAAAAAAAGATATTTTTTTTTAATCATTACTGAATTTATTCGAAATAAATATATATCAACTAAAGACTCTTGTTATAAGGGTATTGATAGGAGCTATATTGTTATATACGGTGCAGAGTTTGTAATACTGGAGTACTTTATACTGTTTTATATTCAGAAACATAACCAAGAAGCATAGGCCGGATTGTTTGGGAGTAAGTCCTTCTCAGTCATATATTGAAGGTAAGGGAACCAGGTGCGCTCAAAGAGTGATTTTGTTGTACAGAGATTCGATTGATCTATCAAAAAAAAGATTTTTAAGGAAAGCAGAAGGAACTTGATTTAGCATAAACCAACAGGGACATTTAATCCTCTAAAATTGTTTCTGACAGCAAAAAAATCAGCACCTGTTTCCCAAATTAGGTACTGGCTGTTCTTCACCAATTAAGACTGTCCAATGAGCCATGACTTGTGGAATCACTAAAAACACGATCTATTATCTGTTCCGGTTGTGTTTCTGTGGTTTTCAGGAACCAAAAGGCAAAGTCCTGCTTGCACACACAGTTGATAGCATTGCATCCTTGATACCTCAAGTTGGCCTGATGTTTGATAACTTTTATTCTAAGGTAGAGGAGTTAGCCCAGGCTAGCCTGATCTCGTCAGATCTCAGAAGCTAAGCAAGGATGTCCCTGGCTAGTATTTGGATTGGAGACCTCCAAGGAATACCAGGATTGGGACATGGAGGCAGGCAATGGCAAACCACCTCTGAACATCTCTTGTCTTGAAAGCCCTAAGGGGTCACTGCACGTCACTTGGTGGCACTGTGATTTGATGGCATTTTCCATCACCATGGAGGAATTCACTGTAGTCTATGGTGTATGAAGACTTTAAGGGAGGTCTGGGCCAAACACATTACCCCAGCTGCCATTCTCCGGCTGCAACACAGGGCTGCACAGAGGCCAGAGACAGAGGAATGGGCCATCTGATACATGTGGTGGGGAATAAATCTATATCAGGGCTGCCAAACTCTCTGGGTATGGCATGCAGCAAAGAATTTAAAATGACACACATTGGAGCATAACGTTTGAATTGGGTATATGTTCTTTTTATTCAGGGTTCATAGGCTCAGATCCTAGGGTCAATTCCTGGATTCTACCTGGAGAAACAACCCTACACAGGTAAGCAGAAAGGGAAAGCACAGACACCAGCTTTCCCCCTGTCCCCCATAGGCATGTACTCTCTTCTGATTGCTGTGTATCTGATATTTTCAGCTCACCTGTCCACAGGTTTTGCAAGCTTATCAAGAAGCCACCACTTAGGAAGAATGTTGTATACAACATATTGCCAAAGAAGGCTGAGATCTGCATTGTTGGCAGCAGCGCAGATATCCACAGTGCCATGGTTCGGGCACAGCAAGTTCCAAGCATAAGCAAAAGCAAGTTAAGAAAGAAATGTTCCGGTTCAGGACTGAGATTTGCCAGCCAGTAGATGGGAATTCCATAAATGATGCATAGAACACACTGCTCTGGAAGTTCCCCTAAAACCTATTTTAGAAAGGAAGCATAGTTAATAGTGGAAAATGAAGCCCCGCAGTACTGTAGAAGAAGGGATATTCTTTAAGCTTTATTGCATATTGGAAATTGATTATCGTCAAATCATTTTCCATGGCCCACATTTTGACCTTATGTGCTTTCAAGGGATCCAGATGTCAGTGACCAAAAATATACAAGAAAATGGCACAGGTGTGTCCCAGGGCAATATTGACTTAACATATAATTAAATTACTTCTACATTGTGATAGAACTGTACTGAAAATGCAGACCAGAGTTATAAGTGAAAGTGAACAGTCTGATTAGCAGCTTTTCAGTTGCACAGAATGTGGACCAAATGAGCAACAGTTATTCTGCGATGTATATTCTTATGTCCTAGTTACATATTTACTCACTGGCAGTGATCCTAAAAGAATTCTAGCAGTTGCAAAAAAAATTACTCCTTTCTCTAATTGGGTAATGAGTGATTAATAACAGCTATTCACTGCTCAAAATCTATGTATCATAGAGTTTTTATTGGATAGAAGGAAAGGAAGTTACCTGCATGTACCAATGCTTCCAGCCATGGAATGAAGAAGAAACTGAATTTGAATTTAGAAGCCTTTTAAATGGCATTCCATATGATATCTATCCCATAAGAAAATGTGGTAGACTACAGATCACAAGCAAATTAAAGTAGTTGTCTACAAGGAAGGAAGGAAGGAAGGAAGGAAGGAAGGAAGGAAGGAAGGAAGGAAGGAAGGAAGGAAGGAAGGAGCGGAGTGTGAAAATTGCAAAGATGGTGGGACGAGGAAGGAAGGAAGGAAGGAAGGAAGGAAGGCTCGGAGTGTGAAAATTGCAAAGATGCTGTGGTGGACTGCACTTTAAAAGCTCACAAGTTCTGTATAAACATGTAATGGATTGTGAAGGGTTAATGACTCACAGAGCCAGAGAGCCTTGAGTGACAGGCTGTTCAAAGGAATTTGAATAGGAATTTGAACAGGAAGACTTGGGAACTGGCTGCTGATGAGAACTCAGACTGAGTTTAGACTTCACTGTGGAAAATATAACTCGGACTGAGGAGAGTTTAGCTCTGACTGAAAACAGTTTTATACTGACTGAGGACTGGGAAGGTTGGCAAGGAGGAGTGTGTGGATCAGTGAAGCACCCATTCAGGCCAGGAAAAGGGATAGATCTAGTTAGAAGAGATTCCCTGCCCAGTTGATAAGGGAGATAGCTCTAAAGAGTGGAGGGGAGTGAAGGAATTTGGGTACATGGTAGTGTATCCCTGCCTTCTGAAACCTGAAGAGTCAGTTAAACTCAAGAAAGTATACTGGAGTGTTTAGGAAACACTGAAACAAAAGCCTGTCACCTCAAAGATTATAGGACTGTGTGAAAAGTTTAAAACTCTCAAGTGCTGGAAATATATGAACTGTAGTTTGTGAAAATATTAAGTTACCTCAGAGTTCTTATTGATTTACCTCAGACATTTTACCCCTGATTTCACCTGACCTTTCCTCTTCTACATTGAATAAAATATTTTGTTTATTTTTGAACATTATTAAAGCCTCTCATGTGCCATTTCAGAAGTTCAAGTTAAAAGGGTGATCTTGTCTCTTCCCTCAAATTCCTGGGTTGAGCCAGGTTAAAAATACAATAACATGACAGGGTGGAACAGCCATAGATCTTCAGAAAAGAAGAAAATATATAAAGGGGCTGCTCAGTCAGAAAGGAAGAAAAAAACAGAGGGAAAATCCCATGTCTGAGGGAAGGAAGAGGGCAAGGTCATCTTAGATGCCTGCATCAGTTAGATGAAAAGAGGGGAAGAGAGAGATATTGTCTACCCTTTAGGATATATAACCATTTTTCAGTGCATGTTTATGGATGAAATTAGGAATCTAGACTATGTTATGGAGGGTGCCAAGGAATGTGGGTGTGGACTGGATGGATCCAGTAGGGCTTTTCCTGTGTTCTTAATCTGACAATTAAATTACTGCAAATAAAAATGAATATAAGAAAAAGTATTATGATAAACTCATTCATTCATTTTAAAAGAGTCAAATCCTGCACTCTTCAGAACCTGACCCAGTCACAGTATTGATGTATTATTTTTAGGATACGAGCACATGATAATGAAATTACAATTATTCTGGGGCATAAAAAACAGCAACAATTTAGGCAAGAGGTGGGATCACAATCAATGTTAACAAAGTTGAAATGTTGCTGAGCAAGGTAATCTTATAAAGTATGGGCAAAGTTTCTTTTTTTAGACACATAGTGACTGTTTTGTTTTATTTTATCTTCTATAGCTAGATTCAAGTCTAGTATCACCTTAGAGACCAACAGGATTTTCAGGATAGGCACTTTCGAGAGTCAAACCTCCCTTCTACAGACCCCCATGGCTACCCTCTAAAACTACCCTAAACTTTTATGTACTTTGCAAGAAATAGAGAAATGCCACTTGTTACATTTTGGATTCTGGGTGAGAGGGCTTAATCAGGCAATGCTTGAACCTTGTGACACCTCTTTATAGAAATCAAGTACAGGCATACTGGAACCAGTTACCTTGGCAGAGAAATATGGCCCAACGGGATACAATCCATCTTCAAAATCCTGATAAAGCACAACTCTTTCAGAGTGACCTACAGCATAAAAGAGAAATAATCACCTTGTGGTTCTTGCTACAGTGTCTCAGTGGTAAGGTTTGCTGAATTTTCCTCTTTTTTTTTAATCTCTTGAAAACAGTAGTAACATTGGAGCTTACATTTTGTGATTCCTTCAAAAATGACTGTGAAAGGAATCAGGGCTCCTATCATATACAAAAGTGCTGATGTATCCTGAATAGACAGCTTGTTTTTTCCATGGCCATAATACAGGAAACCAATTAACAAAGACATTAGGAGGGCCTCAAATCCACGGATTAACAAAGCTGAGAGATCGCGGACATTGTTGGAGAACTGCCGACTGCAACAAAAAGAAACGGCACCAATGAATATAAAGTTTGAAACATGGTAATTTTGTTTTTTTAATTGCAATATGTATCGTAGAAAGAAAACTCAAGAACAAGCATTGTACGTGATCATACATAAACAGAACTTCTGCCATAAGTGGTAGACAGGGAATAGAGATAACAAAAAATTTCCAGTGCTATCATATTTGTATGATGTTAAAATGTTGCCTCACTCCCAAACTAACCAATTTTAATTCGTTAATTAGGTATATAGTATTTTCAACATGTACCAGGCTTTACAAAGTACAAGAAGGCAGGTCTCTTTCCTGAAGAGTTTAACCTCAAACTTGACATTAGGGAACAGCAAACAGAAGGGAGAGAGGAAGGTAGTGGTGGGATTAATGGAAGAATGTTAGTTCACCTCAGTTCCATATACTTAGGCATTTCAGCAAAGGACAGAGTGAGTAAAAGAAGATTGGCAAGACAATCGTTTTTATTGTATTTTTTATTTATTTACAAAAATTGTATTCTGCCTTTCTTCCCTTACAAGGGCTGTCAAGGTGGCTAACCAATTTAAAACATGCATGATAAAATAACATGTTAAAATACACTCTCTCCAACACACATCCTTAAAACAATTAAAAACGGAGTTAAAAAACATACAAGACATAAAAATGGACATTAAAACTTTGGTTAGGAAAAGGGATCCCTGAGAAACAAAAAGCTCTTCACCCGCTGGTGGAAGCCAGCAACAGAAAACAACAGAAGGAGACAGACAAATTTCCCTGGGGAGAGAATTTCAGAGCTTTGGTGCCATGACTGAGTTGACACTTACCTACGGTCTAATTTTATGACAGATTATTCACATTTATACATTCCTGGAATATAAAGTTTTGGACCACTGTAGCAAGTAAAACTGATTTGTTTCAATGTCTTGTGTTTTTCTTTACAGAGGCTTTTGTATACTAAAAAATGGCTTCTCTAATGTGAATGATTTCTGCCAAACCCACCCATAACCTTCAAAACCTCAAGAACTCATCATGTCAGTGTCCTTAGAATCCTCCCACAAATGCCACAAGTTTTTGGGGAAAGTCTACATTAGCCATGTTGGCAGATGGTGACTGAGCTTTCTTTTTACCATTCCAGGGCCAGTTCACCAGCTAAGTAACCCAAAAGGGTGCAGTGCAGGTTAGCACAGTGAAAAGGGCACCAGTGTACCAAAGACATTTCTCCCAGCCATCAGCAGCATAGGAAATTACTGACAGACACTCTTGGGCTCACATCACTGCCGGCCAGGTCCAAAACAACATCCCGTGACATTGATACAGTAACTGGCCTTGGACTTGCCTACAGCTCTGAAGGCTGAAGTTTCAAATGTTGTTAGAAATAGTGTGATGTGAAGTTTGACCGAGGTTGTGTCTAACTCAACCCTCGACCTGATAGACTGTTTTCAAGTGGCTTCTAAATGCAGTTATTTCAAATAAGGCATTAGGAAAACAGGGGGGGAGAAGTAACTTTTACTGAGTTTCTTGGAAAGTGGAATAAGACACTTGGAAATATCTACACATGAAATACACAGCATCTATTGCATCCTTTTGGAAACTTCCAACAATACTTTCTGAACACGACCTAATAGTGAAGACCATGGAAAGTGCGGAAATGGATAAATTGACTTTGATGTTAAAAGGGCAAATGGAAGAAGATTTTGTCAGACTATGGACTCCTTTTTATGATTGGATAAGAAAGAAACACAAAGGTATGGACTCCTTAATATTATAATATGAAGAAGCCTTTTATGAACTTCTAAAACCTCACAGTCTATCTCTTTGTAATGTGAAATGATAAGTAGAGAAGATTTATATGCAGAAGACTTATTACTTTTGTTTCCTTCCCCTTCCCCTTTCCTATTTCTGTATACCCTAAAAACTCAATAAAACATACTTTTTTAAAATAAAAAATTAAACACACAGCATCTGCTGGGCTCATCCAGTTATTATTTTACAGATTTTTTTTAAACCAGAACATTTGATTCGTATTCAACCATAATGTGTAACAACAAACAACAAGAGTTACAGAAATCCACTTATCCTACCAATGCAATCAAATATACAATCAAAGAGAGGTTCCACGGAACAAAGCCATAAAGGTCATAGAAACATTAACCCAATAGCAACAACTTATACTTCGTATTGTAAATAGTTTTCCAGTTACTCTCACAGGTTATGACATACCTCTAGATCCGAAACTCATGCTCTTACACCTGTGGCCGGAAGGGTTTTTTTCAAATAATCAAAGACAATTATTTTACAGATGTCAATTCCAAAGTGCAGAGAGCAGATATCAACCAATCTTTTAACACCTGAGGTGAGAATCTGGCCTTCTCACAACCTTATGAATATCATAGTATAAGTATGAGCTCCTCCTTGAAACTCCAGGGGTTTTTGGCCATTTGGGGGGGGGGGGGCTCTGAGACAGATAAAGTCTCCTGAGAGGGAGAATTCTTCCCATCTCACTTCCTGGAGGCACAAACCCTTACCTGACTCAAAATTAACAGATTTTCTTCTCCATTGCTCACTCCCATATGGCTCCTCCAGCATTTCATAAGTCTGCCTATGCACCAAACAGGCATATAGAGGATGGGTGACCGACAGAAAGGGGGCAAACCTTTGCCCATCCATCACAGCAGCATGTGCTGTGCTTTCCACCCTCCTTTCCCATCCATTACTCTTCAGATCTTATATCAATGAGGCATTACATGGATATTTTAGATACCGTTACCTTAGTAAGATAGTGAACTGCTGAAACCATCCTGGCAACTGATCAGCTGGATGGGGGTTCATGTTAATCAGCTCCTCTGAAACGAATGGGGGGCTGCCAAAAGAAAAAGAAAGGGGAGACGGGAATATCTCAAGGTTCGCACAGCAGTGGCTTCAGTGTAAAATGCTGTCCATGTGGTATTTTTCACCTTAGATCTCTGGAAACAGACACCATATTTTCATCTTCTTCTGGTCTTCTTTTCCATAAAAAGTCATCAAAATGTTTGACTTTTTCATGGAATAAGGCAGCGAGTGAGCTGGCCCTTTGTTGGGTTACCATCTCCGTTTCTTCAGTCTGCCTGTCAACACTAGTCAAATCAACTGTAAAACAAACACAAACCAAAGTTCATATGACCCACATGTACTACATTTGTCTTCACATTTATTAAACTACTTCATATATTTGTAGTTACACATAACCCAATTGCAGTCAATTCCTTTAACATATGAGGTAATAAAATGTATATTCTTGTGCTCTGTTTTCTTGGTTCTCTCCAGAATAATTCTCACAGTAGCCTCCTATGGAGTTACTACTTTGTTGAGAGTCTGTGTATGTCCAAGCATTGTAAATGGGATTGTCAATCTCCAGGTAGTCCCTGGAGTTCTTCTGGAATCACAACAAGTCTCCAGACTACAGAGATCCGTTCCCCTGGAGAAAATGGCTGCTTTAGAAGGTGGACTCTGTGGCATTTTACCCCACTGAGGTCCCTTCCCTCCCCAAACCCTCTCCTCCCCAGGCTCCAGCCCCAAAATCTCCAGGGATTTCCCAACTCACAGAGCTGGCAACCCTTGTTGTTACCAGTGCTCCCTGTAAGCTGTGGGGTCTTGTGAGCAACAATTCTACTTTGTGAGCTACTGGCATTAAAGCTGTGAGCAAGCCATTTGGCTGCTGCATAAATTAGGTTGCTCTGGAGCCATCCTTCCTGAGCCAAGACAAAAATGTGTGAGCCGGAGGCTAAAAAACTGTGAGATAGCTCACACTAACTCGGCTTAGAGGGAACACTGGTTGTTACTACAATCAGATTCAAGTGTTTGAGGATTAGCCTCCTTGAGCAGGACTCTGGAGAGGTAGCATATACATTTTCAAAATAAATCAATAAATAAGTGGTGAAGCTTTTCCTTGACTGTGCCATTTAAATATGCCACTTCTGCTCTGCAACCTAGTTGTCCCCCCATGGAAAAAGTCAGTTATGATGCTAGGGACAAGGGTTTAGCCTGGCCATTTCCCCAGAAAGTATTTTTCTGTGTGTACAAACATTCACAGACCTCCTCTCACAATGTGATATCATACACCCCAGGAAAAAAAAGTGCAGCCATTTAATTCTCCTGCATGTATGCACTGTTCTAGATAACAGCTGTTGAAGTATTCCAATTTATGGAAGGTTTATAAATTACATCTCATCTGGTTCAGTATGGAGAGTGAATATTCTCCAGGTGACCAGAACAGGGCAGTTTCCTAAAACTGACAAGTCGTTGGATTTTAATTTTATTTTCTGCCTCTCATTGTGCCGCAAATGTCTGACACAGGAATGTTTCAGCAAACAGACTACTAAAACTACTTGCAAACCTATTGCAAAGCTGCCTTAAGGACCTATTTGCTGGCACAGAAGTTCTTTGATCTTTGAGGCTTTCTCACAATCGACACTGGTGGGGGGGGCAGGAGAAGAGATTGATAGCCACCCAAGAGAGGTTGTGTGACCAGTACTCTAGGAGATCAGTGAACTCAGGGGACTTGGCTAGGTACTCCCTCACCATCATCTCTCCTGAATCCTCCGCCATCACATGCCTGGCATTCCCGCTGCTGCTGACCTCCCAGTTCACCACTGACAACCAGTGGGGCTGGTTGGGCTCTTTGATACAGAGGTGCCGAGCTGGGCTTCCCTCCCCCCAGCCTCTTCCACCCCCTGTTCACTCTGGCCACATCTGTTGGCCTGTAGCCTCCATACTTCTTTGTAGAGCTCATGCTTCCATTGCACAGGCTCTGCATTCTGGTAGGGGCCACAGAGGGTGTATTGGAGGTGGGAGCAGCAACAGGGAGTTGTGTGGAAGGGGAGGATGCTTCCACCCCATCTGTAATGCTGCCTTTTATCCGGCAGTCACACCTACAGGCCAGCCTGTACTCCCCTTCCTTGCAGAGAGGATCCAACCTGGTGGTGATGCCAACCTGCAACTCCTCTCTCTATGTCCTGAACCATGAGAGAACAGGCATCCCCTCAGGGACCAGCTCCAGTGTGGAGGCCAGAGCCTGGTTCAGCCCTTGAATCAGGGGCATGACTTGCCCCAGGCTGGCCATATGGGCATAGAGCATGTTGATGGTGTCCTGGAAGGGCCTGAGGACATACACCACTTGGGAGAGGGTCAGCCAGTCATTGGAGCTGATGCTGAGCTCCTCTCCCCTGTGCTGGATGGTCATGGAGGAAGTGACATCCTGCACTGCGCTCTGCTCCACCAAACACATAGGTAGAGTTCCAGCAGCTGGGTAAGTCCAGGATTAACCACTGTTCAGGTTCATCCCCCTCCCCCTGCCTCTCACGCAGCAGATAGACAGACTTGATGCTGCATGAGAAGTGGGGACCAGGCACTGGCAGGTCTTCAGCAAAGCCCATATCTCAAGAGTGGCTGTGCCCCAGGTGGCCCTGACAATGCTCCCCAGCCCCAGCACATCCTTCACCACCAGGTGAAGTGTGTGTACCAGGCAGATGATGCCCTTGAGGTGCACAGCCTTCACCGTTGCCAGCATGTTGGCGCCGGCATCTGTCACCATGTATCCACAGACAATGTTGCCTCTGCCAACCTACTCCCTCAGGTTACTCTGTATCATAGCGGTGATGTTTTGCACTGTGTGGTCTCCATCCATTCCCTGTGCACGGAGCAGAACCACTTTGTAGCCCGGTGGCAGGACTGTCCCTTCCTGGGGCTTGGGCTGTGCCCCAACAGTCCAGACAGAGAGGTCCTCTGGTTGCTACCAGTGGGCAGTGAGGGAGAGCTGCTGGCTGTTCCAGAGGTCTATCATGAAGTGCATGGTTCTACCTTGTGCTCTGGAGACCTCAACCTTGACCATCGCCACTGTGAACTGTGCAAGGCGAGCAAGACTCGTCCTCTGCATGGGGATGGAATACCAGGGAGCCAGGTGATGCAGCAGCTGGCAAAAGACTACATCATGAGGAAGAAGGGTTGGCCATCCACAGCAATCCTCTTGCCAATGAGGCGAGTGACTGCTTCCTGGGCCCTCCACATAGCCCTTCTGGATGGCAATGTCTGCATCCCTAGGGGAGGGTGTGGAAATGTTTCCAAAGTGTGGGCTGGAAATGACACCCCAGGACTGCAGAAGGTGGGAGGAGGGACAGCTGCTTTCTGGCACTGGACTAGGAGGGGCCACAGAGGGGTGTACTGGAGGTGAGAGCAGCGACGGGGAGTTGTGTGGAATGGGAGGATGCTTCTCCCCACCCCTAAATCACTGTCAGAGTCTTCTCCAAAAACTGTTATCAACCACTGGTCTTTGGGCAGTGCTAACAACTCTTTGTCCTCTGTGGAGAGATCCAGGAACAGATTAGGGAAAGGAGGCTCCAAGACCTCTGGTGATGTCCTGCTAAGGGTGGGCTATAGTGGGCTGGCTTGATGAGTTTGGTGCCTGGGGATGGGGGCCTGTGGCATGGAAGGGGGTGGAGGACCTTTTCCCCCCATGACAAGCACTCTTTGTACCCATTTTCACCCATATGGCACAGAGGGGTTAGTTCACAATCGGGAGGGATGGGAGGGTATAAAATGTGGTTCCTCTGTTGAGGAACCCACTAGCTAAGCCTCTCTGCTTGGTGTGAGCAGAGAGATGGGTAGCTCAGAGTCCTGTCCACCTAACACCAAAACCCCAGCAGGGGAGGAGTTCCCAGTCATGAGGGAATGTGCTCTGCTACTCCACTTTTAAGAAGTTCCCTGCCTTTCTCTGTAACTCTGAACAGACAAGAGAAAAGAGGCTGCAGAGCTGAGCTTATATATAGCATTCTGATCCTCTAGAGCAGGATGGGAACTCTGTTATTGGCAACTAGCAGTGCCTATTAAACTTTGGAGGGCTCCTATTGGTGTTTCCAAGGCTGGATAATTTGGGGGGGGGGGCTGCTTTGCCTTGGAGTTTTGTAAACAGTTTAATTGAACAGAGTCTGTCTGGAAAATGTATCCATTCCTGAACCACCACAAACTGCTGCGAACAGCACCAAAGTTTGTAAAATGTTCATGACAGGCACCCTTCCACAAACATTGCTTTCCTGAACCACGAATCAGCCAAAATTCATCACAAACTTTAGTTTGTGAGCGAGTTTGTGCCCATCCCTAGGTATCACCTTTCAAAGGCAGGGGAGAGAGATCTTAGGTCATGAGAGGGCATAAATTAATCCTCCCTGAATAATTGCTGATAAGCAGTTAATATTTTAGACACTTCTATTTCATCTTGTCTCAAAAAAAATCAAGACAGCAAATATGATTTCTCCTTTCCCTATTGTATTCCCACAACAACCACCCGGAACAGGTTAGGCTGAGGAATAAAGGTGGCCCAAAGCTATCCAGTGAGCTTCATGGTTTAACTGAGATTTAAACCAGGGTCTTCCCAATCCTAATCCAACATTCTAACCATCTATACCACATAGATTTAATAAAGATCATCTCCCAATAACACTGACAATACCAACCATAGAAATCAGCAGGGTTGCTGTATGTTGGGCAGGGATATCCATTTTCTTTGAAATATTGGACCATGTCCCGTGCTGCTCCAGCATAGATTGTGGCTCCAGACGTCATCAACAGAGCCAGATCAAAGAGCTGGAAGATATCTGATCGTGGCTGGTGAACTGAGAGAAGGACTAATCTGTTTCCTCTGGCCAGCCTAGACAGTGTTATTACTAAGTTGTGGGCTGTGAAACTGTCCAGTCCTGATGTGGGTTCATCAAATATTAGAATTCCTGCCACAGACAAAACCACAATTATGATCAACTATAGCACGTTCTCAATATATCTTATGTTGTCAGCGTGTCAGTCTAAACATATACACTTCCAACAGTAGCTCACAGAGTGGTTTCATGGTCAAGGGGCCAGAAGGACAAGATTGGCAGGGAAACTAGCCCTCTAGCTACTGGGCTGCCAAAAGTGTGTCAGCATTGTGGGCAACCCCCCACCCTCAGCTCCAAGTGCAGAGAGCATTGATCTGCCATTAGATTTTGTTTCCCTGTGTTGTGAGCGAGGCTGTCTCTGCACAAGTCTCCTGGATATGTGAGCCTCCAAAAACCCTCATGACTTAGCCACAGAGGCCTGGATAAAATGATCCAGTATGATATCAAAATGGGGCCCCCTGAACTGTCAGGAATTTCTCTGGATGCTCTCACAAAGCAGTAGCCCATCTGGTAGAATCCTGCCAAGAGCACAATGTTTAAAGGACTTTGTCCTCAATCTTCAGATGCTCCCTGACACTTGAGACTGACTGACTCAAGTTTGCCAGTTAATAACCTAAGGCTATATAGAGCTTTCCACCTCATCCAGCCTAACCTGGCCATTCAGTCCTGAACCTACAGAGAAATATCACGAAGTTGGTACACAACCTTGGTTAGAACAACCTGAGCTGTTCCCAAGTCCCAGTAACTCAATCACCTCACCTAAAAAACTCTTACTACCTCCCAAACGTAGTATCCCACACTCTTGATCTAATCCTGCTGTGGAATCCAACCTCATATTTCCCAAAGCCTATGATGGACATCTCAAACCCCTGCAGATCCATAGCTGGTTTTGTATCTCAGCCTGCTTCCCCAGCCTCAGGGCTGGCCTGTTTCCCAGACCTTTCCCATTTTGCTGAATCCTGGAAATATCTCATTTTGGACCCCCAGCTTCTTATTTGGTTTTGGTTTGGATTTTCCCTATGTCCTAGACCAACTTTCCTTTTCTTCTCCCCAGGATAACAGCCACACAGACTCTTTTCTTCAAGATAAGGCAATGTGCGTTTTTCTTTTCACTCTTTATTTTCCCTTAGACTCCCCATTTACTCCAATCAGGCAACAACTAAGGATAGCATTACTAGGGCTGTGTTACTATATTGCAATGTTGTTTCATGTTTTTGCTTTCCCTTGCATTTCCTCTTTCTAGCTTTGTACCATTGTGTTGTTGTTGTTGTTGTTCAGTTGCACAGTCGAGTCTGACTCTTCGCAACTCCATGGACCACATCACCAGGCCCTCCTGCCTTCCGCCATGCTCTGGAGTTTCCTTAATTTCATGTCCATTGCATCGATAACACTGTCTAACCATCCCATCCTTTGCCATCCCCTTCTTCTTTTACCTTCAATCTTTCCCAGCATTAGGGTCTTCTCCAGTGAGTTCTCCCTTCTCATTTGGTGGCCAGAGTACTTGAGTTTCAGCTTCAGTGTCTGGCCTTCCAGGGAACAGTCAGGGTTGATGTCTTTTAGGATTGACTGATTTGATCTTCTTGCAGTCCAAGGGACTCTCAAGAGTCTTCTCCAGCACCATAATTCAAAATAATCTATTCTTCGGTGCTCAGCCTTCCTTATAGTACAACTCTCACAGCCATACATTACTACTGGGAATACCATTGCTTTGATCATATGGACTTTTGTTGGCGGGGTAATGTCTCTACTTTTTATTATGCTGTCTAGGTTTGCCATAGCTTTCCTCCCAAGGAGCAGGAATCTTTTAATTTCATGGCTGCAGTCACCGTCTGCAGTGCTCTTGGATCCCAGGAACGTGAATTCTGTCACTGCTTCCATGACTTCCCCTTCTATTTGCCAAGGAGTGATGGGGCCAGATGCCATGATCTTAGGGTTTTTTTAAAATAATTTTTATTGGTTTTTCAATTGCAATAACAGAATAATACAAGAACATTATTAAGGAACGATACAGAACTTGAACATTAATAAATAACATAAAAACTTAACAGTAACAGAGATTATACTACCAATATAATGATAAAGCATTCAGCTTTAGTTTCTGTGACTATATCATTTGTTGTTGTTCAGTCGCACAGTCGAGTCCGACTCTTCGCAACCCCATAGACCAGCTCCCGCCAGGCCCTATTGTCTTCCGCCGTCCTCTGAAGTTGGCTCAATTTCATGTTCGTTGCATCTATGACACTGTCTAACCATCTCATCCTTTGCCGTCCCCATCTTCTTTGACCTTCAATCTCTCCCAGCATTAGGGTCTTCTCCAGGGAGTGCTCCCTTCTCATTTGGTGGCCAAAGTATTTGAGCTTCAGTTTCATTATCTGGCCTTCCAGGGAACAGTCAGGGTTGATTTCTTTTAGGATTGACTGATTTGATCTCCTTGCAGTCCAAGGAACTCTCAAGAGTCATCGCCTGCACCATAATTCGAAAGCATCTATTCTTCGGTGCTCGGCCTTCCTTATAGTCCAACTCTCGCAGCCATACATGACTACTGGGAATACCATTGCTTTGACCATGCGGACTTTTGTTGGCAGGGTGATGTCTCTACTTTTTATCATGCTGTTTAGGTTCGCCATCGCTTTCCTCCCAAGGAGCAGGCATCTTTTAATTTCATGGCTGCGGTGATCTGGGATCCCAGGAACGTGAAGTCTGTCACTACTTCCACGACTTCCCCTTCTATTTGCCAAGGAGTGATGGGGCCGGATGCCATGATCTTAGTTTTTTTGATGTTGAGCTTCAAGCCCACTTTTGCGCTCTCCTCTTTTACTCTGAGCAAGAGGCTCTTTAGATCCTCTTCACTTTCAGCCATTAGAGTGGTATCATCTGCATATCTGAGGTTGTTGATCTTTTCCCCAGCAATCTTAATTCCCGCTTGTGATTCATCCAGGCCAGCATTTCGCATGATGTACTCTGCATATATATTAAATAAGCAAGGTGACAATATACATCCTTGTCGTACTCCTTTTCCTATGCTAAACCAATCAGTTGTTCCATATCCGGTTCTAACTGTTGCTTCTTGGCCCTTATACAGGTTTCTCAAGAGACATGTGAGGTGGTCTGGTACTCCCATCTCTTTAAGGACCTGCCATAGTTTGTTGTGATCCACACAGTCAAAGGCTTTAGCATAGTCAATGAAGCAGACGTAGATATTTTTCTGGTACTCTCTTGCTTTCTCCATAATCCAGCGAATGTTGGCAATTTGATCTCTAGTTCCTCTACCTCTTCGAAACCCAGCTTGTACTTCTGGTAGTTCTCTATCCACGTACTGTTGAAGCCTAGCTTGTAGGATCTTGCTAGGATGACCTTGCTAGAGTGTGAAATGTGCAATTGTGCGATAGTTTGAACATTCCTTGGCATTGCCCTTCTTTGGGATTGGAATGTTAACTGACCTTTTCCAATCCTGTTGCATTTTCGAAATTTTCTGGCATACTGAGTTCAGCTTTTTAGGGGGATAAAATTATTTCTCTTTGAAGATCCTTGTTTCTCCTTCCAAATCAGAGTGATGAGCCAAACTGGGACCCAGGTAGCTTCCAGGCTGTTTGACCCTGAAATAATTACCCGAGTGAAGTGGTCCAGCCTTACATGTGTAGGGGGCAAACTGGTTTGGGAAGCCTCCCTCAACATAAAATGCTTCAGGGGGGTCACCAACCATTCCTACCCTGAGGAAAAGCTCACGCTATTCCAGCCAGTCCCAGAAAGGCCTAACCAGTCTAAACCAGGCCTATCTACTTGAGTCTTACTCATCATGGGAAGTACCAAAGTGAACCAGATAAAAAAGAACCCTTTTGTGGCCAATGTATTTATTTATTTATTTATTTATTTATGTTATTCAATTTATACCCCGCCCTCCCCGCAATGCGGGCTCAGGGTGGCTTACATAGGGGCAAACGCCAATATAAAACATAATTAAAACCATTTAAAATCCCAACAGCACAAAACATTCGAGTTATTGACTAAAGTGCTCTAGGTGTTCAACATGAAATTTCACAGATGGCATTTTCAACTGTTCAGCATCGTCTGCTCTAGGGAAGCATTGATGTTCCCTCATCCAGGGCCAGGTAAAGATGGAATAATGGTGATGGTAGTGCCCACTCCTGCTCACTCCTGAAGCAAACAGCTAATCCCTGTTTTGCCAAATATAGAGATGGATGGGTGAGTGCTGTTGCCAAAGGAGGAGCAAGTCTATAATGTCTGCTTGCTCTCTCCCCCTTCATGGATAAGGAACCCAGTCTCTTCAAACAGCCACCACCCACCTCAAAGCTTGATGTCTTCCTTTTTTGGGAAAGGAGAGTGGATGAAGGTATCTTCCAAGCCACAAGGGATGGGAGCTGGACTTCCTTTCACAAATAAACATCTGTGACGCAGTGGCCATTTGCAAGCGCTTTATGAATATTAAGCAACCAAATGGGGGGTTGGATACCTGCCCAGTGACTTTACAATAAACTGAAGTTATGGAGTAATGAAAACAGAGTAAAATGTACTTCCCCCATGTGGTGGTCTGTATCCAAGACAAAGTTTACAGGAGGTCACCATGTGGCAGATGGTTACATGCCTATAGCTGCAGCAAAACCCGCCTTGCTACATGCATTGCTTCTTTTCACATAATGCCAGTTGGGTGCTAAAGCACCAGATCAGAAACCTAAAATGGTTTTTAGGTAAGAATAAAGCTTACCAGGATTCCACAAAAGCTGGACCCCAATGCTTACTCTTCTCCTCTCACCCCCAGAAACACCACGGATATACTCATTTCCAACTTTTGTATTTGCACATTGTCGCAATCTCAGTTCTGCTATAACTTCTTCTACCTGAAAATTTGATCAAGAACAAATCACTTTTTTTGTTTTAGCGAAAATATTGAACAATATGATTAAATTACCTTTTCCTGAAGCAGCCTTACTTATGGACCCAAGGTGGGGCAGCTGTGCTAGTTCAGCAGACAAATTTTGGATGCCATTATCACATTCACATTCACTGGCATAGAACTTTAAAGAAGATCTTCCTGAAGGACCTCCCTATTTTAAATAAGGGGAGGTGGATCTCCTACTTCTGCTACCTGGACTTATATGTCAGGGGAGCCCTGTCGCCTAGCCCAACTTTTCCTGGCCCCACTTTCAGTCCTAATCTGCAACATGGAGCCCAATTTAAAACTCTATATGATGATTTCCCCCTCTTTGGTTTAAGCTAGATGAGATGCTAGAAGGTATGTAGACCTCAAAGCATTTGAAGTGGTAATAGACTGGACTTAATTTGAACTGTAGACTCCAAAGGCTGAGCGAGTGGCCGAGGGAATTTTAAGTTTTCCATCCTATTCAGGTATGCCAGTCAAATAAATATTTTTATTCTCTTAAAGTAAAGCAATCTCCTCAAATATGAAAAATTTGATATGACCCTTCTTAGGTTGGAGCTCATCCCAGTTGTTGGTCCCAAGCTGACCCATCAGGTGAAAACAAGTGCTCTACCTTACATCAGTGATTAAACATTTCCAAAACTACACAAATCACTTTTTAAAAAATGACTGTAATCCATTTTTCTTTGTGTTCCTTTCAAGAGTTAGAGAAGTGCTTGCATAACAACCTGCCAACTCATACATTTCTAAGGGAAAGTGTAAACCAAGCAAAACTCAACAGCAAGACAAATGAAAACCAGAGATGCTAGATAAAACAAATTTTAACACTGATAAAAAGACAAATGATCACATTCAGATTAGTTTTTCTTTATCCAACAAGACGCACAGTCACTTAGGTAATGTTATTAAATAAATTCTTGACAAGTTAATTTTCATTCTAATTACCCTTTTTTCTCTTTCTGACTCGGAAAATGTCTTCGGGAGACGCAGTTTTGCAATGAACAATAATGTTTCCCTCACTGTCAAGTTGGGTAGCAGTCTGTCATCTTGCCGTACATGGGCAATGCACTTCTTAACCAGTTGGTGGGTACTGGGTTTTCCATTGATTATAACTTGACCTGATACAATTTTGCCTCCATGGTCCCTACATGTTATCACGTCGAACAAAGATGTTTTTCTGCAAACTAGAAATATAATAGATTACAGTGTTAAACATCTATGATGGTTTCTTTACTAAAGCTATGTCTCCCCCAGTGAGGATGAGATGGATCCCATAGGTCTGTTTTACTAATGGCGGCACTTTCTTTGGTACACCTTCTCTTGATACATGGTGGCATCCCCTCATGTGAAAGAACCTTCTATTGTCAAGAGAAGACTCCTTAAGCTAAAGGAAGGTGCCACCACTAATGAAACAGATCTGCAACACCCAACCCAATAACTATGCTAGAAATAATATGAATCCACCTGATTTTCAGGTGGGTGGCAAAAATTGATCATTTATCATGCCTCTGACAGGCAACCTACTGGACATAGCTTGTGGGCAGTGCACCTTTGCCTGATGCATATTATGATTCTCTTTCTAGTGTATTAGTGACTCGAAATATCTTTTAAACTAAACACAATCCATCAGAAAGTCCTCCTCCACAACGTAGCCTATCAAAATGAATGGGAAATGTGCAAAAGGATGAATATGCTGTAGCACAGCTTTCATTCACTTTGATGTGACATGACCGTATGTCTCTGTAGGATTTGTGGAATAATGGAACTGATTGACTTGTGGCCACAGTTCCATGTTACAGCTATAGCATGGAAAGCACCCAACCAGATATTCTCTATACAACAGGTGTGATTCACAAGGCAAACCACTCCACACATCACAGTTACCACGTGAAGCAGCCTTGGCATGTAGGTTATTTTCAAAAGCCTTCCTCATAACTAGTACAGACTGTGGACTGGCCTTTGTTCCATAGCAAATACTTGGCAGCTTTCCCTCAGCTATGGTTTACGTTTGGCACTTTTCAGAAACCATACAAGAGAATTTAGTAGGGAAATATTCAGGGGATTAATCTGAAGAATGAGGAATTCTTGTGTCCAATTGTTATTGAATTGTAGCAGCATACTAGGTCCTTGTAGAACCATGGAGCATTACACTTCATTTCTACAGCTCTCTTGGTAGACTTGGAAGTACTACTGTGCATTCATCTCCCTCACAGCATACAGGCTCAATAATGACTCCTTATATGCAAGAAGATGGGCTGAGCAGGGAGAGTGTGAAATTTCAGCCAGGTTCTTAATATTATCTTTCAGAGGACAGATTCCCAACTGAATATTTTTGTGTGTTCTAAAAATACAGGTTTGCCTTTTTAAAAAATAAAAAAGAAAGCTCATCAGTTCACAAACCTGGGAGAACTCTTAATATTAAATAAAAGAGGGAGTTTAAAAGCTCAAAACAGAGGGAAGGAAGTGGGGAGGAACAAAGTGGAAAAGGTTGGTGTGTGGGAGGGAAAGAATTGGGGAGTGAGCGAGGAGGGAATTGAGGGGAAGTAGGCGCTGAAACAAATAGGAAAGGAGAAGCAGGGACAAGCAGAGGCAGCAGGGTCAGGTAGGCCACCAAGGGGAAGGACAGGATTTCCTCTCACCTGCAAATCCTCATGGGTGTCCTGCTTGCAATCTCCATCAGTACTTTTAAAAACTTGAGTAAAATACATATAATAAACTATTTTAAAACCTTTTATGAATCAGCTTTCAGAGCTGGGTTTGATGCTCAGTGTAAGTTATTTTAACATATGCACCATAATGATTCAGCAAAATATCTTCCATTCTTCAGTACCTGACCTTATCGTATATATTGATATTAATCTCACCTATTATTTCTTTTGTATATATTGATGGGGTGGGGTGGGGTGGGGGAACAAAAATCTTTTTAAAAAAAACTTTCCCCAATAGCAAAGAGTGTTTCTGTTAAATTAAGACAATTCATCTTGCTAAGAATATTCAGAGCTTGGCCAAGCAAAAGCATTTCCTGACAGACAATTGACACTGTGTTTGTGTGCATGCAATAAATGTAATATTATTACAGAAATTGAACACATGACATTTCCTTGTACTGAGTCAGAGTTTATCGAAGTCAGCCTTCTCTTATCTGACTGGAAGCAGCTCTCCAGGATCTCATGTAGAGTTTTTTTGCATTACCTACTACTGACACTTTGAAACTAGAGATTGAACTTGGGACCCTCAGCATGCAAAGCCCTCTACAAAATGTCCATTTAAATATCTTTTCACCCCATAGCCCTTCTGTTGCTTCTAGGTTGATGTTTCTCAACCATTTTAAGGTTTCCTTCATCCCACATCTTCTTAAAAAAATCCCATCTTTCATTTTTTTCTCTCAAACTACAGTCTCCCACGGCTGCTTTTAATTTGTTAAAAAGTCGGGAGACTGTGTCAGAAGCCCGTCTGGTGACTTTAGTCTAGTAATTTGGACCTCAGCCTTCATCCTTAGTAACAATACCCAAGTATGTGTATTTGTGTTAGCTCACATTCGTCCCTTTTCAGGATTCTTAGTTATTGGTTTTGTGAGTTAAGAATGTAAGGAGAATCCTGCTTGATCATCTAGCTAGTCCAGCACTCTGTTTCCTAGAGTGGCATTCCAAATGCTTTTGGGAAGTCTGAAAACAGGGCAGATTGGTATTTCATTACCTGTACTGTATCTGAATGCAGTGGAATTCCAGAAGTGAAACAGGCATTTTATGAATGTGTATTCTTTATCTGATTGGGATCTCCTGCTACTTAATTCAGTTGGGAAACCATGAGTTCTACTGTTATGGGACACTGAGCAGCTTGTTGACTAGAAACAATGATTATTTTATTTAATTAAACTCGTTTAGGAAATTATTTGGCAGAAAATGTGAAAAATAATGGCAGACTTTAGTTTCTAAACTAAATCAAGTGCCCAGTAAGACAGAACTCTCTGTATTAATTAATTCTTTCCGGTGATCCTAACTTTCCAGTTTAGAATATGTCTATAAAGAATGTTTTTCTCAAGTAAATCACTTTGCTATAAAGAATGTTTTTCTCAAGTAAATCACTTTGCTCAGATGATGGACTGGCCTTGTAGAATCTGTAGATGTGGCTGGTTCATATCAGAATGCAGTATTTCTTACCAGAACTTTCTATGAGGGCCAGCATCTGTCCACTTCTGACTTTAAAGGTCAAATTTTGGATGGCCATCACATGGGAACTGGGGTCTGTGCCACATGTCCAAGGCATCTTTAGCTCTGATAGTTTCTGATACCATGGAATCTGTGAGGCCACATCAACCTAGTGAGGAACAGCATCGTTATAAAGTCAAAACACAGGCAACCATTTGCCCAGAGATGAAGGACTTAAACTAATAAGAGAAGAGCTGGAGTAATCTTCATTTTAGACCTAGTGTGAAATCCAACCTTAGTGTCTGCCCAGCTGAGATTTTCCCATAGAGTAGCAGCATCTGATACCCTTCCTCTAAAAAAACTAAGTGACAAAAACACGCCTGAATCACTGCTGTGATGTTGTGTAGATAAACTATTACAATATACAGGATATAGATTGGTGAGAAGAGGGAGAGGGAGCCTTCGGTTTTGCTGTATTAGAGCTGGAACATTTTTTCCTAGTGTCCCACAGAATGCTAAGAGAGAAGATACACATTTGCTGCATTTGTTTTCAAGGCAGAGAACATGTGTTCAAGCCAGCAATGTCACTTTTAGAACATTTATCTCTGTCTAGTATTTGGATGGGAGACCACAAAGGAATAGTAGGGTCACTACGCAGAGGAAGGCAACGGGAAGCCACCTCTGAACATCTGTCGCCTTGGAAACTCTATGGGGTCGCTGTAAGTCAGCTGTGACTTGATGGCAGAAACAACAATGATGGATCGTAGACAGAGCAAGGCCAACTTCTCACCTGATAGTTGAGGTCTCTGACCTCCAGCACATTTGATTTGCCACTGTATGTGAAATACAGACTGTTATCATCTTCTGAGCAAAAAATACTGTCTTGGAGTTCCACCTTTGCCTGTAGAAATCATCATTAGAATGTCATTTTCTTAAAATGTGTAGTGGTTTTAAAAACAAAAGGAGAGAGAGGTAACTTATGAAGCTGCCTTATACTGAATCAGACCATCAGTACATCAAAGTCAGTATTGTCTACTCAGACTGGCAGCGGCTCTTTAAGGTTTCAAGTGGAGGTCTTTCAAATAATTTACTAGCTGATCTTTTAACTGGAGAGCCAGTTTGGTAAAGTGGTTAGCAGGGGGGGTTTTTCTGGGGGAATGCACTGGAATGGAGTTCCAGAACCTCTTCAACAATTTTTTAAAAAATGTTTAAAAGTTAATGAGTTTTCAGTATACAGATTGATAACTTTATTTCCCTCTTGAGAGTTCTGGCACCTCTTTTCCCAGGAAAAAAAGCCCAAGTGGTTAGGAGCGTGGACTCTGTTCTGGGAGAACCGGGTTTGATTCCCCACTCCTCCACATGCAGCTGCTGGTGTGACTTTGGGTCAGTCATGACTCTCTCAGAGCTGTTCTGTTAAGAGCAGCTCTCGAAAGAGCTCTCTCAGCTCCACCTACCTCACAGGGTTCTGTTGTGGGGACAGGAAGGGAAAGGAGACTGTAAGCTGCTCTGAGACTCCTTTGGGTAGTGAAAGGTGGGGTATAAATCCAATCCTCCTCCTTCTTCTTCTGATACTGGGATATTCTGTGTGCCAAGCAAATGCTCTACCATTGACCCATGGCCCTTCCCCAATGCACACACTAGAGTTGCTGCATCACATAGACTACTGAATCAGTAGTTGCATGATCAACGTGCAGAGCACTTTTCAGCACAGCATATCAAAACATTCAGGCCTCCAAGGAGCTTACAATATAAGTAAGTGGTAGAGATGGGGGGGGGATTTGACCAATACATCAGCAGCTTCTTAATGCTTCTTCACATTTTGAAGTATTAATGAGATCATTTTAATGCTTTCTATATCAGCACTAGTTCAAGTGTTATTCAATCCAGATGAAATATGACGTTTTCTGGTTACATTTCTTGATTTATTTACATTTCAAAAATCTGACTAAAATCCCTTCAATTTGTCATATTTGTGGATCTCGATCTTAACAGTTCACTCACCTTCTCAGTCTCCTCCTTCACAGTGGGACAATCCAGTGAACACCTCTTCATCTTTATTCCCCTGTTGTGATGATTATTGACCACCTCCTTTTTAACTCTATATTTCCAATTGATGGTGTGTTTTCTTCTCCTTTTATTTTAAAGCCTAACTACCTTCTCCTTCTTACTCCAGGAAATACACCCAGACTGGCTTTCATCTGGGCCACACCTACTTCTGTAACTGGTAAACTATTGTTGCTATCATTGTGCTACAATAAAAAAAACACTTCGGTTAAAGGTTCATCTGATAATGATTATGGTGGACGAGCGACTGGAAATAATTTTTTTTAATGCAAGAAGCAACAGACTGAGATCACAGGCGTTTAAGAGCTGCTCTGTACAATGCTTTTGGAACAGATGTTTTCATTTGATTAACTAGCTTAGCAGTGGCTGGAAGATCACTAAAGAAAAACATATCTTTTGCTTGGGCCCATATCACTGGAATGCCAAGAGGAAGACAGGAAGATGGTTTCAATACCGCACAATAGTGTTAGTATTCTGAAGGTGTCTTATGCAGTCAGGTAAGTACATGCAGCTGCATGTGTTGAGAGTCCATAACAATTATCCACCAGAGACCACTACCGCAGAAGGCCAGTGAGGTGTAGTGGTTAAGAGTGTCGGACTAGTGTCTTGGAGACTCAGGTTTGAATGCCCACTTGTGACATGGAAGCTTGCTGGGTGACCTTGGGCCACTCACACACTCTCAGCCTAACCTGCCCCTAACCTGTTGTGAGGATAAAATGGAAGAGGGGAGGAGAATGTATTAAATTCCTTTAGGTTCCCATTAGGGAGAAAAGCAATATTTATATAAATAATGCCACAATAAGCAGAATACAAGGATGAGCAATGTATGCTTAATCCTCAGCTTGTTTCAAATATTGCAACTCTGTCAATGACTCAAAATATCCAAAAGGATCCTCCATTATAAATTATTATATCAGCAATTTAAGTGGTTGATTTAATAAAAGAAATCCAATTGGTCTTAAATTATGCTTTACACCCTGTAAAAGTATACCAATTATAGTCAGAAAATCCTGGCATAGCATATTGATTCTTCTTGGAGACAAAAAAAATGGGGAGCACAAACTCTAAAGCACTAAACTCTAAAGCAAGAGAGATCCTTGGATTACATTTGTAAAGTCTTTTAATTCTTCCAAATGACACTTCACATGCTTTTCTCTCTCCCTCTCTCTCTCTTTTCTTCTTGAAGGGAACGTGTAGGACCATGGTGGGATATTCCATCGTACCATAAAAAGTGGAAAAGACAGATTCTCAAAGATGTTTCATTTCATATAGAAAGTGGCGAAATCATGGGCATTTTAGGAAATTCTGGTAAGTAGTTATATCTGTGTTTCTGAGTCAGAAGGTCATAATTGCTACATTAGAGAGCCAGTGTGTTGTCGTGGTTAGAATGTCAGGCTAGGATCTGGGAGACCCAGGTCTGAATTTCCATTCTGCCATGGAATCTTGCTGGGGGACCTTGGGCAAATCACACCGTCTGAGACTAGTCTACCTCAAAGGGTTGTTGTAAGGATAAAAAGGAGGAAAGTAGAATGATACAAGCTTCTTTGGATCCCTACTGTGGAGAAAGGCAGGTTTTAAATGAAGCAAATGAATAGATAAAAATTTAAAGTGCAGTCCTAAGGACTCTTTCCTGGGAGTACACTTGAGCAGGATTCTGAGTAGATCTGCATAGGAGCTGATGCCCAAGAGTGACAGAGTGGCGCTGGGGGCCTTTGCCGGCATAACTGAGCCTGCTTGCAGGATGGGCGGGGTATAAATATAATAAATAATAAATAAATAAATAAATAAACTGTCTCTTACACCAGTATAACTCAGAGATTCACCACAGTAAAGGTCAATCCTCTTGTTAGAGAATGAGATTGATATTTTGCTTTATGGACTATATTTATTGCTAGAAACAATGGACTGTGCACACACACACATAGGCTCAGAGAACTGTACACTTTAAGTCACCTGTTGTGATACTACACATAGAAGGTGCCTGCACAAGCCTTACACGTGTAAATAAGGTTTCAGCTATTTGGGACGGACTAACAGGTAGGTGGGTCAAGAGGTTGGCACGGTTACCGCCAATGTTCCCTCTAATCTGTGAAGTCTTGTGAGCAAAAATTCTACCTTGTGAGCTCCTGGCATTAAAGCTGTGAGCAAGCGATTTGGCTGCTGCATAAATTAGTTTACTCTGGAGCCATCCTTCCTGAGCTGAGACAAAAATGTGTGAGCCGGAGGCTAAAAAACTGTGAGCTAGCTCACACTAACTCAGCTTAGAGGGAACACTGATTACCGCCCATCTCTCGAACCCACTAGAAAAGGAGAGAACCAGTCACATGGCTCTCTTTCTCCTACTTGATCAACTAGCATCTCCCCCGCAACAACCCCTGTCTGCTTTTACCCCTCTTAAGTCCCACTTGCTATCCCCAACCCTTGCCTCCACTGCCCACACGTTCTGGCTGGTTCTGGTCGTGTGTGAATTCCCTTAGTTTTCCATTTCTTCCCCTCTATTCTTCATTGGAACAACGAACCTGCAAGACAGATAAGTTTTGCCCATCATCACCCCCACCTGCTAATGCAACTGTGCTTATTTTAATACTGTAATTCTGAGGAATTTGATTGAATGTGTGAGTGCATCAGTATTGTTTGTATGAAATTTATTCTTTAAGTAAAAGACATTTATTTTAGCAACAACAGCCTCGAATCCTTCTCTGGTAACCCTTGGTGGGAACAGGACCTTGGTATAGTTAGCAAGGACCCATTTATAAATTGCCAATTTCTGTAAATAAAGCAATTTGGCTAACACGCTCCCTGAGTGCCTTCACCCCTGCCCTGCCCTTAGGGTTGTGCTGTAGGTACAATCATGATGGAATCATGATGGAATTGAAGAATGCAGTATGTATTAAGAGGATCTGTTGTGATTATGGTTTGATTATGTTTTGGTATGTCTATATATCTATTTTTTAAGTATGGTCCCATCTACAGATATCTAAATTTGTTGATCAGGACCACACTGACACTAAACCAATTTCCTGCAAATTTGGGTGACCCTCCACCCAGGTTCACAGAAAAATCTGAAATATTAAAACAAATACTTGGGGGGTTAAATACATTAAAATGCATTTGTTGGGGTTTTAAGTCCCTCCCCCACTTATCTTTCTTCTTCTAAGCTGGTGGCAGCATTAATGTCTGGGATTCCACAACTGCTCATGGAGTAAAGAAATACTTCCTTTGTCTATTCTAAATCTATTGCCAATCAAGTTCATTGGATGCCCCCCCCAAGTTCTACTGTTATGGCACAGGGAGAAAAAGTTCTTTCTTCTCAATTTCTCTACCCCATGCATACTTTTAGAAATATCTATCCCCACCTTAGTTGCTTCCCCCCCACAACTACCCTTGGCTGGCTTGCATTCCCTCTCTCTGTCCTCTTGAATCATTAATATTAGCTCTTAGCATTAATGTGTTCATCTAAGTCACCTCAAATGGAAGAATATTTTAAGAGTTAAAAATAAACATGAACAATCATATGGTAACAAAACCAAATTTGCAAAGGGCATAGCTAGAGATACAGTGTTAATTTTGTGAGGTATACATGTATTTCAGACCAAATATTGTTCTGTAGAGACCAATCTCAAACCATAAATTGCTTTAGGAACAGATGACTTCGCTGGAAAACAATTCAAATTGTGTCCCGGATATGAAAGTGGCTTATGATTGGTTTCATTGCGAATAACTTGGCGATTTATATTGCACTGCTCTTTTTTTAACTGGAGGAAACTCCCTGGTAAGGTACACATCAAAGAAATCCTATATATATGTAATTCCATTATGTATTGGCCATTTCCAGCTCTCCCATTGGCTGTGCAGTGCACGCCATCAGCCATTGGCCCATCAACTGCCACTCAAGAGTACTTATGTGCCATTGGCTGGGTGCTGGGTCTACTCCTCTCCCCCACCCACTGCCAGCCTGGACACTCTTCCCTCACAGAATTAACTATCAAAACGGCTGTCTCTACTGATGAAGACACTTCTCCTTCTTGGCTCTTGTGGGACTAACTTTTCTCTCATGGCTGCTGCTAGGCAACCAAGCTTGGTTCTGTCAGTAAAAAAAAAGTACTGATCCCTGTGGTACCCCACTGCTTACCACCCTCCACTGAGAAAATTGCCCACCTACACTCACTCTCTGTTTTCTATGAACTAGCCAGTTTTTGATCCATAAAAGGACTTGTCCTTTTATCCCATGATTTTTGAGCTTGCTTAGGAGCCTTTGATGAGGAACTTTATCAAAAGCTTTCTGGAAGTCAAGGTAAATAATATCTATTGGATCCCCCTTGTCCACATGTTTGTTCACCCCCTCAAAGAACACTAATAGGTTAGTGAGACAAGATCTTCCCTTACAGAACCCATGTTGAGTCTGCCTCAATAGGTTTTGTTCATCTATGTGCCTACTAATTCTTTCCTTAATAATGGTTTCCACCAATTTACCCGGTATCGACGTCAGACTGACTGGCCTGTAATTTCCCGGATCTCCTCTGGAACCCTTTTTAAAGATGGGAGTGACATTAGCTACCTTCCAGTCCTCAGGAATGGAGGCAGATTTTAAGGAAAGATTACATATTTTTGTCAGGAGATCCACAAGTTCACATTTGAGTTCTTTCAGAACTCTCGGATGTATGCCATCTGGACCTGGTGATTTATTAGTTTTTAAGTTGTCTATCAGTTTTAGGAGCTCCTCTCTCATCACCTCAATCTGACTCAGGCTCTTCCACCAGGCCTTCGACTAAGGAACCACACTTAACAAACTAAGACCGTGTCCCCAGTACCATCATTGACAGCCTGAGACTCAATGATATGATCCGGACTGAGATGTCAGACCCAAAACCAATCACTGACTCTACTCATATTATGCTGATGCTACTAACGTCTCACTACCGCCATACAAACTGTTCACTAGCACTTTATGATGTGTTTTATTTTTACAGTTATAGACTGACTTGTTTGTCTGTTTAATAATTTTTATGTAAGCTGCCCTGAGCCTGCTTCAGCAGGGAGGGTGGGGTATAAATAAATAAATTAAATAAATAAATATATGTGAAGAGATTGGCCAATATTGGAGCCCACCAATCTACATGTGATTTAAGTAGCTTGGCTACTATAAAATCACTTCCTGGGGCTTTCCCATTTTTCAGCTGCGATATCAGCAACATGACCTCACTTACTGTAACCATGATGGAACATCTCTTACAGAGTGAATAATGGGTGATTTATATTGTCAGTCCTCATACAAAGTGGTGAAATGGTTTCTCCAGATCTCCACTTGTATAGAACTTGCCAGAGTATCAACTTTGCTTCCCTGTAATGAAAATCCATGTACGCATTGTAAATGTAACTCATATTTTATAATGTTTGCTTTTATTTTTTAATTGTAACAAGTTTTGTAGTGTGGGGGGGGACTAGCTTATACATCTAATATCTCCTATGGGCTCTTTGGCTCAAATGGTTCCATGAAAGCTGATGTAGTCCTGCATCCATATTGGCAAATATTGAGGACTAGGAAAGTGGGTGTATGTGTGTGCCTTTTATGGCTACAAAAATTAAATGGCTTCAATCCTAAACCTATTCATGTGGCTGTGACAGAACAAATTATTGTAGTAGTTCCAAATCTAGCGAAACAATTTAGAATGAGACTCTGAGTTTCTCTTGGAGAATGTCATATTTCAAAGGGTTGAAATACAGGGCTGACAATCAGCCCGAAACCTGGCCTGCTCTTGTCCTTCTAACATTAGGTTTCATCTGCACAAGTTACATTTTCATGTCATAAACACAGTGACCTCTTAAATGCTTCAGCTCAAACTGTACTAGCAGATAATTACTCTCAACCATTTGTACCAGGATCTGGGAAAACAACTCTGTTGGATGCCATAGCTGGAAGACTTAGCCATAAGAGCAGCTTTGTTGGGCAAGTTTATGTCAATGGACGTGAGCTGCATCGGGATCAATTTCAAGACTGCTTTTCTTATGTTCTCCAGGTCTGGTTTTAAAATTTCATTTACATAGTTAGTTTTTCTGCACATATTCTGTGTATACCCATAGATGGGGAATGCATGGGTTGGAGTATGATCTCATGCCCCTTTCATACATTCAGCCAACATAGTTTCCAACCATAAGAAAAAGGGACCATCCTGTGTATTTTAGTTACTGTGCTTCTGTTCTTTTGCACTAGATTGTACAGAAGTCAGTGAATGTATACAATTTGGTTGCCCCTACAAGGTTAAAACAGGTGCATTTGTTTCTTTTTCAGAATGATACTTTGCTAAGCTACCTCACCATAGAAGAATCTTTGACCTACACTGCTTTGCTGGCCCTTCAGAAACATTCCTGTGACTTCATAAAAAAGAAGGTCTGTACCTTTTTCTTTTGGGATATATATTGGGTGAGATGTCTTTGAGGAAGACTCAGAAAGTAAGGGTATAATCCTGCACACAGAATGCTTGAATTCCAGTGAAGGCAATAATGGGATTTAAGCAGTCTAACATTTTGCAGGGATGGAGCAGGTAAATTAATTATAGGAACATCTGCTTCTTCTCTAGCTGAAGTTTGAAAAGAGTCAAGAAATCAACAATGCAATCCTTGACAAAGTATATCCTTCTGAGTCCACTGAAGTCACACAGCCAGCCAGAAGCAGAGCCTAAGCACACTGAAATATCCTAAGGTTCAATCTTGTTCCCATTACCATTATATGGGGAATGCTTGGAACATCTATTGGTTCAATTGTTGGTGTAAAATACATCTCAGTACATATGGAAGCAGCTTGATTGGAAGTTGAGCAATATGTAGTATTTTAAAATTATGATTCTTTGCTAAAAACCTTAGTGTGTCTTCATATAAATTATGCACTTGCATTTATTTCTTTTTAATATATATTCCTTTCTGTCTCTGTTAGTTCCAGCCTATCCACTCACCTACTAGCACTGGACGTTTTACCAGGAATTGCCCACACACTTTCAAACTTGTATCCATAGCCTTGTATTTACTTATTTACTTTATGTATATCCCACCTTTCTCCCCAGTGGGAACCCAAAGCATCATTCTCCTTTCCTCCGGTTTATCCTCACAACAACCCTGTGAGGTAGGTTAAGCTGGGAGTATCTGACTGGCCCAAGGCCACCCAGCAAGCTTCTGTGGCAGAGTGGCAATTTGCACTTGGGCTTCCCAGATCCTAGTTCTACACTTTCACCACTACACACCATGCTGGCTCTCTAGCCATAAGGGCTAGGAACCTGATTTTGGTTTTAAATGTGCATGAAAGCACTGAATGGTGGGATGTACACAGCCCAGATTATGCATTGTGGTGACTCTGATCTGAAAAGGATAAAGAAGGTTCAACCACTTCAACTCAGACAGGCAAATCAAGTAAAAACATAATGCACTGAAGGTGACAGACAGTGCTATCCTAAGCAGAGTCATGCCCTTCTAAGCCCATTGATTTCAATGGACTTAAAATATCAATCTGCTTAAGACGGCACTGTCAATACTTAACTGAAATAGTATGATGACATCTTATTACTTAACTGAAATAGTATGATGACATCTTTCTCTTTCAAAGCCTTCAAGGGCATCCTGTTCCACAATCATTCTGAATTAAGAGTATTAAAACACAGAATTGGTTTTAATGTAGCGTTTGAAGGAGGTTTGAGCAGCCGGGCAGAAAATCTTCACCTTCGGTTCTTCCTATTTTGCCATGGTTTTTGCAGGTTGATGCTGCTATAGCTGAGCTGGGGCTCATGCATGTTGCTAACAGTGTAATTGGAAGCCGTGTTTTTGGGGGAATTTCTGAGGGTGAAAGGCGCCGTGTTTCAATTGCAGCACAGTTATTACAAGATCCCCGTGAGTATGGCGTGTAGCTTTTCAGAACAGAACAAATATTCTGTCCTTTTTTATTATTAGACTGCCAGCTGGTACACACTCCTACCACCCACCTCCACCCAGTGTTTGTCAATAGAACTTTCTATTTGTCACAGAGCCAAAGTCATTACCTTCAAGAGGAGGCCAACACACATAACCTAACTCAGCAGTGATTTAACAGAGTCTGAGTTTCAATCTCTGCCTGGGCAGTGATGGGAGATGAAGACTGCAAGTAACCGGCACAGGCAAAAGGTTTACAGTAACCCAATCCTAAGAAAAGGATGGCAAGTTTGTACTATTGGAGCTGCTCAGTGGTCCATCCAGCCCAGTTCTGCCAGTGCTGATTTGCAGAAACCTTCTGGAGTCTCAAGAAGACTCTGAGCATGGGTACTTGGGATCTTCTGGTTCAACTCTTATGTTATCTTTATGGTGTGATTATCACTACAAAATGCACCGCCCCACAATCAAAGGCCATGCTGCACCAGTAATCAGTTGTCTTGTGCTATGTATAATCTGGATGAGAAGTTCTCACATGTTTCCCATCCATTGAAGCTTCTGATGCTGGCACAGAAGTATTTATATCATCATACCATCTGAGTTTGGGAGATAATACACTCATGATCAAGAGAGCACAAATGAATGAACTGGTATGCGCAATGATGTATAGGTATTAGTGTGCTTGAAAATGATTTTATGAAGCATACTCCAGAGAAACAGGGTGGGGCCATGGGCTGGCACTAGACCATCTGCTTGGCATGCCGAAGGCCCCAAATTCAATCCCTGGCATCATCCAGTGAAGAGGATCAGGTAATATGAGAATATCGCCACCTGAAACCCTAGAGAGTCACAGCCAGTCAGAGTAGGCAAAATTATCCTTGCTCTATATGATCTGACCGAGTATAAGGTAGTGTTCAATAAACATTGGTATAGAACATTTTTAGTAACATTCTGGATTTTTAAAATTTTATTTTAGCTATATCCCACCTTTCTTCTCAACAGGGACCAAAAGTGGCTTGCATATAATATATATGTAGTGAATATGAAAATTATTCCATTTATCATGCACAAAGTAAATCTTAATACTTTCATTCTAACTTACTTTACACAGTGAAAGGATTACATTGCCATTCCAAGCACAGTTACACCTTTCTAAAGCCATTGTACTATCAGTGAGGAAATTAATTAACAAATGGCTTAGCAACAGAACTACATGTTACTTTGGCAATAACATTAGTGAACTTGTTTTTGCTTTCAACAATAATGTTGAGCTGGGAGGGCATTTGCAGAGGCGAAGAGGTGGTGGGTGAAGAGCGCTTAACTAATATCCATCTGCAAGTCCCCCCCCCTTTTCTGCTTTGTAATATTTCTGGCCTCAGACTTGACTGGAGGAAGGAGAATAATTAGGAGGGAGGGAAGATTTGACAGGGAGAAGTGGTGAATGAGGAATAAGTAAACCCTATTCCATTCCAATGACTGTCCCTGGCAAAGCCCCTCCCCCCTTTTTGCTTCAGTGCTATGAGGTGAAAACAGAATTAGGAACCCGTATTTGCCTTTCAAGCATACGAATTTGCCCTTAGCTGAACCTCCAGGAACTATTCTTGCTGTTTTCACAGAGGTCATGTTGCTAGATGAACCAACAACTGGTCTGGACTGCATGACAGCCAATCAGATTGTATCACTGCTTTCAGAACTTGCTCGGAAAGGCAGGATAGTAATTATTACAATCCACCAGCCACGATCAGAATTTTTCCAGGTAAGAAATATCAAGACACAGATTTCCATTCTTTTAAGCTTCCATAGTAGCAATATTTGAATATGAGAGAAATTATGGGATGGATCCATTCTAGGGTTGCCAGGTCCCCCCCCGGCCACCGGCAGGGGATGGGGGGGGAGGGTTGCCGGATCCAGGTTGGGAAATTCCTGGAGATTTGGGGATGGAGTCGGTGGGGGGCAGTGACCTCAGTGGGGTACAATGCCAAAGCATCCATTTTCTCCAGGGGAACTGATCTCTGTAGTCTGGAGATGAGCTGTAATTCCAGGAGATCCCCAGGTCCCACCTGGAGGCTGGCATCCCTAAATTCTATTCAGCAAAGTTTGACACCTTCCTCTAGCCTAAGGAGTCTTCCTCAAATTGAAGTGACTTTTCCTCCAACCAAAAGAGTTACTTAATTTGGAGAAAGGCTCCTTAGCTAGAGCACTGGTTAGTTGCACCCCAGTGTGAGAGGCTCTGGGGTGAATCCTACTCCTATCCTACCATCTACCCACCAAAGTTTGAAGACTTCCATCAACATGTGGCTTTCCTTCTAACAGAAGAGCCACTTAAGTTAGAGAAGGGTTGGAGCCACACCTTGTTCTCATCAGAGTTTTTTACATTAATGTATTTTTGTTTGTGTTTCCCAACAAGGTATTTCATAAAATTTGCATCATGAGTTTTGGAGAATTAATTTTCTGTGGAGGGCCATCAGACATGATCACATTTTTTGGGGACTGTGGTTACACTTGTCCAGAACATTCCAACCCCTTTGATTTTTATGGTAAGCATTTCTAAGTTGGGTTTTAAAAAAAGAGAGTTAGTTCTAGCCAAACAAGTTAGAGAGAATTATGTTCAGCTGTTGTTCTATTTTTGAACATTTCCTTTGTCCACGGCAACACAGGGGCCATGAAATTTTTCAAAGTCCTGTGGTCTAATTCTTATTTTAAGCAAATAGACTTTGCTGAACAGCATAGCAGGATTAGTGCAGAAGCAAATCAGGATTTTATAGTGCGAATTTTAAAAAGGGTTTCTCTGAGTAACATTGCACACACTCTTCATGTTTGTGCTAAGAGTTTTAGGGCAAGAGGAGTATAAGATGCATTCCATAGTTTATTTATATAGAAAATCTAGAATGAAGAAAGGACAACTGGGAGACTCCTCCCCTGCCCTCACAGGGCTGCTACTGCTGCCACCTACCTGGCCATGCAGTAGCAGGAGCAGACAACGGGACCAAGGAAGGCAGCCCTCAGAAGGGGCAGCCCAGTGGATCTGGTGGTCATTTCCTCCTCCACAGTAAGGTTTTTTAAATATATATATTCATTCTGATTTTTTTTTTGCAAACTTGGAGACTGATCCAAGTTTGTACAAACATCTTTCTTCTCAGTACCTAACCCCAGTGTGTGGATTTAATGATCTGCACTCCAAAGTCCCATTTCAGAATTAGATCATAGAATCATAGACAAATAGAATCATAAAGTTGGAAGGGACCTCCAGGGTCATCTAGTCGAACCCCCTGCACAATACAGGAAATTCACAAAAACCTCCTCCTCCACACCTGCAGTGACCGCTGTTCCATGCCTAGAAGATGACAAAAAAACCCTCCAGGTTTGCTTCCTGACCCCAAAGTGGCAATCAGCATTTCCCTGGGCATGTAAAAAAGGCCACAAGATGTATGATAATGCATAGCCTGATCCACAACTCAGTGTTGCTAGAGTATTTACATGGATAAATGTATTTGTATGGATAAATCTAGATATAGTAGGTATCTCAGAAACATGGCAGAATGGGAAACATCTATGGGATACAGCCGTTCCTGGGTATAAGCTCTATAGGCAGGACCAGGAAGGATGGGTTGAGGGAGGTGTTATGTTGTACATCAAAGAGGACATAAAATCCAATAATTTAGAAAACATCAGAGGAATTAACTCCCCAACAAAAGTGATATGGGTGGAAATACTAGGTCCTGTTACTTAAAAGTGGGGGTATTCTGTCATCCACCTGAACAAATCCTTGAGGCTGATCTTGAGATGGAGACTAAAGCAGATAACGTTATGATATCGAGAGAGTTCAACTACCCTCACATTGACTGGGTAAACATATTCTTGAGTCATGCTGTAGAAATAAGATTCCTAGATGTCATAAATGATTGTACACTGGAACAGTTGGTCACAGAGCCAGCAAGAGGGATAAAGATCTTGGTTTTGGGAACAGTGACTACAATGCTATTGTTCAGCATTCATGTCAATGGGAAGTTACTGCTAAAGTAAAAAAAAAAGTAACTTGATTTCTAAAGACGAACTTTACAAAAATGAGGCATCTTTTAAAAAGCGGAAGGTCTGCTCCAATGAATTGAACAGGAGGGATCACAGGCTCTGGCAAAATAAATGTAACTTAATAATTAGGCATGCAAAAAAAGATTTTGAGGAGCAGGTTGCTAAAAGCATCAAGACAAACAATAAAAATTTATTTAAATATATCAAGAGCAGGAAACCAACCACAGAAGCAGCTGGAGAGTAGCAAATGTTTTTTAAAAGGGCTCCGGAGGGGAACCAGGAAATTCTAGGCCAGTTAGTTTAATTTCTGTCCCAGGCAAATTAATAGAAACTATAATCAAAGACAGAATTATTAGGCACACAGAGGAACAAAGCCTGTTGAGGGAAAATCAGCATGGCTTCTGCAAAGGGAAGTCCTGCCTCACCAAACGTTTGGAGTTCTTTGAGAAAGTGAACAAGCATCTAGATAATGATGACCCAGTAGACATTATATACTTGGACTTTCAAAAAGTTTTTGACAAGATACTTCACCATAAACTCTTGAGCAAACTTAGTAGTCGTGGGATAAGAGGACAGGTTCTCTTATGGATTAAAAATGGGTTAAATGATAGGAAGCAACGAGTAGGAATAAATGGAAAATTTGTGCAATGGAGGGAAGTAAGCAGTGTTTTCCCACAAGGATCAGTATTGGGGCTGGTACTATTTAATAAATGATCTGGAACTAGAGGTGAGTAGTGTAGTGGCCAAATTTGTAGATGACACCAAAATATTCAGGATGGTGAAACCAAAGGTGAAGCTCCAGGAGGATCTCTCCACAAATTGGATGAATGAGCAACAATGTGGCAAATGAAGTTCAATGTTTATAAATGTAAGGTGACACACACTGAAATAAAAAATCTCAGCTTCAGGTAAGGGGGGTCTGAACTTACTGAGACAGAGAGGAAAAAGAGGTTGTGTGCTGCAGTGGTGAAAGATGCAAACTCTATGTTGGGGATTATTAAGAAAGGGATTGAAAATAAAATGGTTGATATTATGAGGCCCTTGTACAGATCTATGGTGCAGCCTTGTTTGGAATACTGTGTGCATTTCTGGTCACTGTATCCTCAAAAAGGACATCATAGAGCTTACAGAAGAGGGCAGCCAAGTTAGGGTGCTGGAGCACCTTCCCTGTGAGAAAAGAGAAGACTAAGGGAGGACATGATAGAGGTTTATAATACTATGCACTGCATGGAAGGAGCAGACAGAAAAAAAATTCTCCTCTCCCAAAACATTTAGAACTCAAGGGCATCCAATGAAGCTGATGAACAGTACATTCAAAATAAGACAAAAGGAAATACTTCTTTACATAGCAAGTAATTAAAACAAGGAATTAGAATTTGCTATCACAGGATGAAATGATGGCCACAGGTAGAGATAGCTTTAAAAGGGGATTAGATAGATTTATGGAGGATAGGTCTATCAGTGGCTACTGGCCTCGGTGACTAAAGGGAATCTGGTGAAGAACGGGAACTTCCATGTTCACAGGCAGTCAACCTCAGAAGCCCAGTGCCAAGAGGCAACAGCAGGGGAAGACCTCAGCCTCTGTGCTCTGTAATGTCAGATCTTCAGAGGAACTGGTTGGATGCTGGACTGGTATGATCCAGCAGGGCTCTTCTTATGTTCTTAACATGGGGGGAAAATGGTACCCGGCTTGGTAATTCTCTGATGGGCAGGTGAATTGCAAAAACTTTGTAGTTCCTGTATTTAATTCTGCTAGCTCTGCATTACAAGGTAAGAAAGCTCATAAATGGAAATACAGTGCAGACATGGCCCCCCGTTTCCATGTGTCTGCCCTATGAAACTTGTGTTGTGTAATACTGAGGTGAAATAAAACAAGGTCACTTAGTTCACATTTCTTCAGGTTCTCTGTTTGAGGGTGTGTCAGTCAGTTAATCAAATTGATTTCTTTATAACCAGAGTTAATTTTCTTAAAGCAATGATCTCTTGAGCAGATATTTTAAAACAAACTTTTTGTATGAAGATCAAACAAATGTAACCACTAGTATCAGTATAAATATAAAAACTAGTGGTCATAATCTAGAATAGGAAGTTTATTGGATATTTCTCCAACAAATAATCTCCATACTACAGAAGGAAAACTACATTAACCTATGCATTTATAATGGTTTGACACCTTCAGCAAACCACACCATATTATTGGAGGAATGTTTGTCTGACTCAGAGGGCCCAGCTTCATGTTACGTTTTCCCTGAGGACATCCATGGGTCAAGCCAAGCATTCACAGCAAGCAAGCACATTAAGCATGTGAAGGGTACAAACCTTGCAAGCATGTGTGTGTGCATGTGTGGTTTAAGATGAAGAGTAAAAATGCATTCATATAAAGTTGGGATTAATTAAATGGTATTGCATAATTTTTTCAGTGGATCTAACATCAGTAGATACTCAAAGTAAAGTTCGCGAACTGGAAACTTACAGCCGAGTTCAAACTATATCTACGGCCTATAAAAGTTCAGAAATCTTTCATAAAACTTTGGAGGCTATTGAGGAAACAAAGTGCAAAGTGAAAGACCTGCCACCTATACCTTTTAAATGCAATGACTCTCCCAAATCTTTCTGCAAACTATGGATTCTTTTAAGGTAAGTGCTCATCAAACAAGTCAGTGGTCATGCATGCAAGGTAGGCTTGTCATTTGCCCGCCCACAGCAACTAAACCTCTGCCCTTGGCCCCCATCTCCCACCACTGAGAAATTGAGATGCAGGAGAGGAAATGGCTGGAAAAATGCCTTCACTTTAGCATTTCCCTATGTCTCTATGGTATTTGGCACAGAGATTAGGGAAAATTCCTAGAGCATTACCTGGTAGTGATGTCACATATTCCCCAAACTCCAACCTTCCCAGGTGCCATCTCCTGGCATTTTCCAAGGCAGTGCTGGCAACCCTAATGTAAGGCCTGTTTCAGAGCAAGCATATCTTGGCCTGGGTTGGAAGCAGAGGAAGAATGCATTAGCACAGTGCAATAATACCCCTTCATTTTCAGGAGGACAACAAGGAATTTATCCAGAGACAAGCCTAGGATGATCATGCGACTTTCCCAAAACTTATTGTTTGGCCTTTTCATCGCATTCTTCCTCCTGAGACTGAATGATGACCTTCTTAAAT